CACAGCATTCTGCAGCGATACGCCATCCCATCTGGTTTGGGCTTAGTGGGATTATCATTTGTTTTTCAACAGGACAATGACCCAACACACCTCCAGGCTGTGTAAGGGCTATTTTACCAAGAAAGAGAGTGATGGAGTGCTGCATCAGATGACCTGGCCTCCACAATCCCCCGACCTCAACCCAATTGAGATGGTTTGGGATGAGTCGGACTGCAAAGTGAAGGGAAAGCAGCCAACAAGTGCTCAGCATATGTGGGAACTCCTTCAAGACTGGTGGAAAATCATTCCAGGTGAAGCTGGTTGAGAGAATGCCAAGAGTGTGCAATGCTGTCATCAAGGCAAAGGATGGCTATATATTTTGATTTATTTAACACTTTTTTTGGTTACTACATGATTCCATATGTGTTATTTCATAGTTTTGATGTCTTCACTATTATTCTACAATATAGAAAATAGTACAAATAAAGAAAAACCCTTGAATGAGTAGGTGTGTCCAAACTTTTGACTGGTACTGTATATTTGATGAAACATTGAATTTGGCCTTACTGCTATTAGCATTGAATAACAAATTCCTACATGGAAAAACAGATAGTCCAAAAAGAAATCAAAGGTACATTTGTTTTGAAGTGTCTGGCCTATATCTGAGAGATAGATAGATAGAGATATATATATATATATATAAAAGAAGAAGAAGAATTTGACCAATATTTAACCCCTTTTTTTGGCACTAAACTACTTCCATATATACTTCCATACTTTTTTTAAAAACAGGTCCCGGGCTGCCTTCAGACGATTCTTGTTAGGCTTGTGGGCATCCTAGAGCAAAACCGACATGTTCGTTAGTCTCACCTTTCCGTAGAGGGTCCTATTAGTGTGTAGCCCAAACTGTTCGGATGCTACAGACAGAAGTTGGCAGATCAGATGTACCGACTTCACGAGTCCCGTGACACTTCTGGGGGTCGTAGAGCAAAATGGAGAACACCGTAGTGTTCGTGAGAGTCTCATCTTTCCATAGAGTCATCGTATTAGTTTGTATACCAAACCGTTCAATGTTTTTTGTGAGAATACCGATTTTCGGGATGTCTCATGATCTGACAAAACACCGCTCTAGCTCGCGGAAGGCCGCCATTGGCGGATGCGGTGGAATGAGACTCAGCCCATGCAGATGTCGAGGCGGATTCTGATGGGAATTAGTTTATTACGCTAATTAGATTAACGCAGGGGCATGGACCTCGACTCTAGGGGGTTAACTGGCTAATGTTTATTAGGTACACCAATTTTAATGCCGGGTCAGACCCCCCCCCCCCCCCCCTTTGCCTCCAGAACAGCCTGAATTCTTCGGGGCATGGAAACATTGCTCAATTGGTATCAAGGGACCTAACGTGTGCCAGGAAAACATTCCTTGCCATTCTCTTTCGACCTCATCAACGAGCTGTTTTCGCCCACAGGGGGGAGGGCAGACTTGTTTCCTTCTCATGACATCCGAGAATGTTTAACTTTTCAAGGCTTTAGAGGCGCCCAGACGAGACGTTTAGTTAAACACCCACAAAATCAAAGGTTATCAATCATTTTCACACCTCCAATGTCTTTTCCAAAGTGGAGTCCATACATTCCATGGTTATAGCTGCTGTGTAGATCCGTGCATTAAGACACATCTGTAGGTCTTTCTGAAGTCAGTGGGAAAAATTGGCACCACACTTTGCACTAATAGTGCCTAAGTTAGTCCTTCAACAAGATACAGTGGGGAAAAAAAGTATTTAGTCAGCCACCAATTGTGCATGTTCTCCCACTTAAAAAGATGAGAGAGGCCTGTAATGTTCATCATAGGTACACGTCAACTATGACAGACAAAATGAGAATTTTTTCCAGAAAATCACATTGTAGGGTTTTTTATGAATTTATTTGCAAATTATGGTGGAAAATAAGTATTTGGTCAATAACAAAAGTTTCTCAATACTTTGTTATATACCCTTTGTTGGCAATGACACAGGTCAAACGTTTTCTGTAAGTCTTCAAGGTTTTCACACACTGTTGCTGATATTTTGGCCCATTCCTCCATGCAGATCTCCTCTAGAGCAGTGATGTTTTGGGGCTGTCGCTGGACACGGACTTTCAACTCCCTCCAAAGATTTTCTATGGGGTTGAGATCTGGAGACTGGCTAGGCCACTCCAGGACCTTGAAATGCTTCTTACGAAGCCACTCCTTCGTTGCCCGGGCGGTGTGTTTGGGATCATTGTCATGCTGAAAGACCCAGCCACGTTTCATCTTCAATGCCCTTGCTGATGGAAGGAGGTTTTCACTCAAAATCTCACGATACATGGCCCCATTCATTCTTTCCTTTACACGGATCAGTCGTCCTGGTCCCTTTGCAGAAAAACAGCCCCAAAGCATGAGGTTTCCACCCCCATGCTTCACAGTAGGTATGGTGTTCTTTGGATGCAACTCAGCATTCTTTGTCCTCCAAACACGACGAGTTGAGTTTTTACCAAAAAGTTATATTTTGGTTTCATCTGACCATATGACATTCTCCCAATCCTCTTCTGGATCATCCAAATGCACTCTAGCAAACTTCAGACGGGCCTGGACATGTACTGGCTTAAGCAGGGGGACACGTCTGGCACTGCAGGATTTGAGTCCCTGGCGGCGTAGTGTGTTACTGATGGTAGGCTTTGTTACTTTGGTCCCAGCTCTCTGTAGGTCATTCACTAGGTCCCCCTGTGTGGTTCGGGATTTTTGCTCACCGTTCTTGTGATCATTTTGACCCCACGGGGTGAGATCTTGCGTGGAGCCCCAGATCGAGGGAGATTATCAGTGGTCTTGTATGTCTTCCATTTCCTAATAATTGCTCCCACAGTTGATTTCTTCAAACCAAGCTGCTTACCTATTGCAGATTCAGTCTTCCCAGCCTGGTGTAGGTCTACAATTTTGTTTCTGGTGTCCTTTGACAGCTCTTTGGTCTTGGCCATAGTGGAGTTTGGAGTGTGACTGTTTGAGGTTGTGGACAGGTGTCTTTTATACTGATAACAAGTTCAAACAGGTGCCATTAATACAGGTAACGAGTGGAGGACAGAGGAGCCTCTTAAAGAAGAAGTTACAGGTCTGTGAGAGCCAGAAATCTTGCTTGTTTGTAGGTGACCAAATACTTATTTTCCACCATAATTTGCAAATAAATTTATAAAAAATCCTACAATGTGATTTTCTGGAAAATTTTTTCTCTCAATTTGTCTGTCATAGTTGACGTGTACCTATGATGAAAATTACAGGCCTCTCTCATCTTTTTAAGTGGGAGAACTTGCACAATTGGTGGCTGACTAAATACTATTTTTCCCACTGTATATAAAATGTCCTCTATAGCCAGGTGTCCATCCAACATTTATAAGCGTGTAAAGTACCTGTCGGATAACAAAATGTCATGACGAGCCTGACGGAAACAGGAAATGGGTCTGAAAACGTTCCAAACGTTGACTAAACTAAATACGCTAGACAAGGTGGGTTCTTTTTGTCGGTGCAATGTATTGTGGGAGAAATGTCGGTGGGAACGCTTTTATGTTCAAATATTGATATATATAATAACATATCCAAGTAAACTTTGAGTCGCACGATGACACGTGTGGTCCTCCCACTACGACTCGTCGGGAAAGCATGCAGTTTATTAACTTCACAGGGTGGTGAAATTGCAAGGTGATGAGCTTGATGCTCTTTTCCAATAAATATCAAGGTTCTTATTCTGGTGACGTGATCATCGATGCTTGGCTGCCATTTGACAAATAAAGATAATCTCACTCTTTTGTCCATAATAATCTAAGTGTAGGCTATACCCGCACTGTATCTGCGAGCTGTTGTCTAGCGCGCATGTGCCAATACCAGAATGGGGACACGCAATTTTTTTGGTGTGAAAACCATCAATAGAGTTGAAATTGTGATAACTCATTTAACTAGCATTGTTTTATATGGGGATTTAACCGCAAAATGTACTTTTATGCACACTGCATCATCACACACAAGTCAATTTGATGGAAACTCATCTCTGGTGGGAAAATGTGCATGTTGTTTTTATGCAGATGTTAGAATATTTGCATGAAAATCTTGTCGCCAATTGGACGGAAACCTAGTTTGACACTATTGAAATGTATTAGCTAGCATTTCTCTCTGTGTATTTCTGTCTTGGGTCATCTTAAATTGGACAGTGACAGTCGTTTTAGTCCATTCGACGTCAGGCTATAAAACGGTTTAATGGAAATGTGTCAAGTCAGCCAGCCATGGCAGTGTTACTATTGTCTAATTGCTGTCTGATTGCTGACCTAAAGCATTGTGTTGTTTGTCTGTTTCAGGTTACGCCCATGTAAAATGGAGGATAGCTTTGATTGCGACTGCGGTGAGCTTGAGCCACCCGATTGTTGAGGGGGAGACTGCTCTGTAAAGATTAAAAGGCAAGACACCATTTTGGATCAGCGGTGGTTTCAACAGGAAGAAGAAGATTTGAGGAAAATAAAAATAAAAGATTTTACAATTGTAGTGCTTTTTGGCACAATTAGAATCAATGCAGCTACACAGGATGGGTCTATCACTGAATGTATCTGCACTGTGAGGATGCGACGAGATGCTGTTGTAGTTTTTGAATTGGCCTCTGAGTTCATTCCATTACTGCTGGCTGTCAAACACTAAACTTCTAAAAACGGTTTAATAACCGGAGAAGCTATAAGAAAAAAAAACGATTTGAAAAAGGAATTCAAATTAGGGGGAAAAACTGGCTCCATTTGTCAGACAAACATGACTTTCTACTCTGGTTGTGAGTCAGAGAGCGGTGTGGTTCTGTGAGGGTTAGACGGGGGGAAACAGTAGTCTCCTGTGTAAGGGTTATATCACCCACATTCACATTTTCACAATATAACACACCAGTTAAGAAATCTATAGATTATTATCAGTCAGTTCATCCATTTTGTATTGAACAATCCCAAAGTCAATAGAAACTTAGTCAAAAGTCCACACCAAATCCAAAATGGCGGAGAAGTTTGAGTCTCTGATGAACATCCATGGGTTTGACCTGGGCCCACGCTACATGGACCTGAAGCCTCTGGGCTACGGAGGGAACGGCCTGGTGTTCTCGGCCGTCGACACGGACTGCGACAAACGTGTGGCGGTGAAGAAGATCATCCTGACGGACCCTCAGAGCGTCAAACACGCCCTGAGGGAGATCAAGATCATCAGGAGGCTGGACCACGACAACACCGTCAAGGTAACACAGGAACCATAAAATACCTTTATTGGCCACTCGTATGGAAATGTAATGTTGTTAGGACAGCAGTACAATGGGTCAGTTCCTAACACTGCAGACAGTGGGGGAATTCCCCGGCTCAAGTCACACTGCAACACCAAACTCTGCAGTCATATGACTTGGCCTAAGGAGAACACTACAAGTCACTTCCAAGTGTTGGACTACCTCACACTAATTAGTGCTAAAGCACTTGAGTCATGTACACAGTCAAGAACATACAGACAACGTACAGGTGTATCTGATCATACAAGTTCATATTAACTCCTTCCCTCTCCCAGGTGTTTGAGACGCTAGGGCCCAGCGGTCGCCACCTAACAGATAATAATATTCTCTCCTTTCCTCTCCCAGGTGTTTGAGACGCTAGGGCCCAGCGGTCGCCACCTAACAGATAATAATATTCTCTCCTTTCCTCTCCCAGGTGTTTGAGACGCTAGGGCCCAGCGGTCGCCACCTAACAGAGGACATAGTCTCTCTGACAGAGGTGAACTCTGTGTATATCGTCCAGGAATACATGGAGACAGACCTGTGTCAGCTCCTGGAGAGGGGTCTTCTCTCTGAGGACCACGCCAGGCTCTTCATGTACCAGCTGCTGAGAGGCCTCAAGTACATCCACTCTGCCAACGTACTGCACCGAGACCTGAAGCCTGCCAACCTGTTCGTCAACACAGAGGACCTGGTGCTGAAGATAGGGGACTTTGGACTGGCCCGGATCATGGACCCTCACTACTCACACAAGGTAAGAGGCTAACAGTCATAACCATCTGTAATAACTATGTGATGCCTACCTAGCGTTCAGGCTTTATTGCCCAGAAACCAACTGGGCTACTCCCTTGGGTGACGCTATCAGCCTATCACACCACACTGCACCACAGGAAGTAAACAAGGAGGGATGGTAGTTCCTGAAGTCGCGCCTCCGTTTCCCTTCTCAGAGGAAACGCTTCCGCTGAGAAAAGGGCCCTGAGAACCAATATTTCCGTTGAGGGGAGGGAGGCCGCATCCACATCCTGCCCCGGTGCTGGGGACAAAGAGTGTAGACTGCTGTTGACCAGACTGTGGGTTGTGACAGACTGCTGTTGACCAGACTGTGGGTTGTGACAGACTGCTGTTGACCAGACTGTGGGTTGTGACAGACTGCTGTTGACCAGACTGTGGGTTGTGACAGACTGCTGTTGACCAGACTGTGGGTTGTGACAGACTGCTGTTGACCAGACTGTGGGTTGTGACAGATTGCTGTTGACCAGACTGTGGGTTGTGACAGACTGCTGTTGACCAGACTGTGGGTTGTGACAGACTGCTGTTGACCAGACTGTGGGTTGTGACAGACTGCTGTTGACCAGACTGTGGGTTGTGACAGACTGCTGTTGACCAGACTGTGGGTTGTGACAGACTGCTGTTGACCAGACTGTGGGTTGTGACAGACTGCTGTTGACCAGACTGTGGGTTGTGACAGACTGCTGTTGACCAGACTGTGGGTTGTGACAGACTGCGTGTTGTGACAGACTGCTGTTGACCAGGACTGGGGTTGTGACCAGACTGTGGGTTGTGACAGACTGCTGTTGACCAGACTGTGGGTTGTGACAGACTGCTGTTGACCAGACTGTGGGTTGTGACAGACTGCTGTTGACCAGACTGTGGGTTGTGACAGACTGCTGTTGACCAGACTGTGGGTTGTGACAGACTGCTGTTGACCAGACTGTGGGTTGTGACAGACTGCTGTTGACCAGACTGTGGGTTGTGACAGACTGCTGTTGACCAGACTGTGGGTTGTGACAGAGTCTAGGCTGTTGTTGACCAGACTGTGGGTTGTGACAGACTGCTGTTGACCAGACTGTGGGTTGTGACAGACTGCTGTTGACCAGACTGTGGGTTGTGACAGACTGCTGTTGACCAGACTGTGGGTTGTGACAGACTGCTGTTGACCAGACTGTGGGTTGTGACAGACTGCTGTTGACCAGACTGTGGGTTGTGACAGACTGCTGTTGACCAGACTGTGGGTTGTGACAGAGTGCTGTTGACCAGACTGTGGGTTGTGACAGAGTCTAGGCTGTTGTTGACCAGACTATGTTGTGGTGAAGAAGTCTATTCTGTAGTTTAGTTAGTGGAAGTTTCTAGTCTGGCTGTGCCCTTGTCTCTACCGTCAGGCGACCAGTGTTTGATGATCATCAAAGTCAATGCTGTCCTATTTATAACCCTTATGTTCATTTTCAAGCTGGTTAACCTTTAACCTATATGTTGTGATCCAGTCTGGTGTTCAAACTTCAGAGAGATGGGATTTGTTAACCTAGTTGGATTGAGGGAAGATGAGATGGAATAGGCTAACCTAGTTGGATGTAGGGGAAGCAGAGAGTGGAGATTAGGCTAACCTAGTTGGATGAGGGGAAGAGAGAGATGGAGATTAGGCTAACCTAGTTGGATGAGGGGAAGAGAGAGATGGAGATTAGGCTAACCTAGTTGGATGAGGGGAAGAGAATGGAGATTAGGCTAACCTAGTTGGATGAGGGGAAGAGAGAGATGGAGATTAGGCTAACCTAGTTGGATGAGGGGAAGAGAGAGATGGAGATTAGGCTAACCTAGTTGGATGAGGGGAAGAGATATGGAGATTAGGCTAACCTAGTTGGATGAGGGGAAGAGGGAGATGGAGATTAGGCTAACCTAGTTGGATGAGGGGAAGAGATATGGAGATTAGGCTAACCTAGTTGGATGAGGGGGAGATGGAGATTAGGCTAACCTAGTTGGATGAGGGGAAGAGATATGGAGATTAGGCTAACCTAGTTGGATGAGGGGGAGATGGAGATTAGGCTAACCTAGTTGGATGAGGGGAAGAGAGAGATGGAGATTAGGCTAACCTAGTTGGATGAGGGGAAGAGAGAGATGGAGATTAGGCTAACCTAGTTGGATGAGGGGAAGAGAGAGATGGAGATTAGGCTAACCTAGTTGGATGAGGGGAAGAGAGAGATGGAGATTAGGCTAACCTAGTTGGATGAGGGGAAGAGAGAGATGGAGATTAGGCTAACCTAGTTGGATGAGGGGAAGAGAGAGATGGAGATTAGGCTAACCTAGTTGGATGAGGGGAAGAGAGAGATGGAGATTAGGCTAACCTAGTTGGATGAGGGGAAGAGAGAGATGGAGATTAGGCTAACCTAGTTGGATGAGGGGAAGAGAGATATGGAGATTAGGCTAACCTAGTTGGATGAGGGGAAGAGAGAGATGGAGATTAGGCTAACCTAGTTGGATGAGGGGAAGAGAGAGATGGAGATTAGGCTAACCTAGTTGGATGAGGGGAAGAGAGAGATGGAGATTAGGCTAACCTAGTTGGATGAGGGGAAGAGAGAGATGGAGATTAGGCTAACCTAGTTGGATGAGGGGGAGATGGAGATTAGGCTAACCTAGTTGGATGAGGGGGAGATGGAGATTAGGCTAACCTAGTTGGATGAGGGGGAGATGGAGATTAGGCTAACCTAGTTGGATGAGGGGGAGAGGGATATGGAGATTAGGCTAACCTAGTTGGATGAGGGGAAGAGAGAGATGGAGATTAGGCTAACCTAGTTGGATGAGGGGTAGAGATATGGAGATTAGGCTAACCTAGTTGGATGAGGGGAAGAGATATGGAGATTAGGCTAACCTAGTTGGATGAGGGGAAGAGAGAGATGGAGATTAGGCTAACCTAGTTGGATGAGGGGAAGAGAGAGATGGAGATTAGGCTAACCTAGTTGGATGAGGGGTAGAGATATGGAGATTAGGCTAACCTAGTTGGATGAGAGGAAGAGAGAGATGGAGATTAGGCTAACCTAGTTGGATGAGGGGTAGAGATATGGAGATTAGGCTAACCTAGTTGGATGAGAGGAAGAGAGAGATGGAGATTAGGCTAACCTAGTTGGATGAGGGGAAGAGAGATATGGAGATTAGGCTAACCTAGTTGGATGAGGGGAAGAGAGAGATGAAAGGGTATAGGGGGCTGGTATAGGAAAGGAGAGCAGAGGAGGAGAGAGCAGAGGGGAAGAAAGGAGAGCAGAGGAGGAGAGAGAGCAGAGGAGGAGAGAGAGCAGAGGAGGAGAGAGAGCAGAGGAGGAGAGAGAGCAGAGGAGGAGAGAGAGCAGAGGAGGAGAGAGAGCAGAGGAGGAGAGAGAGCAGAGGAGGAGAGCGAGCAGAGGAGGAGAGAGCTGAGGGGAAGAAAGGAGAGCAGAGGAGGAGAGAGCTGAGGGGAAGAAAGGAGAGCAGAGGAGGAGAGAGCTGAAGGGAAGAAAGGAGAGCAGAGGAGAGAGAGCTGAGGGGAAGAAAGGAGAGCAGAGGAGGAGAGAGCTGAGGGGAAGAAAGGAGAGCAGAGGAGGAGAGAGCTGAAGGGAAGAAAGGGGAGCAGTGAGGTGAGAGAGTGGAGCAGTCACCAGGCAGCTACAGGTGTCTTAGATTAGTCATCACCAGGGCTAGTCTGGTGTGGGACTCAGCCCTCTGTCTATCTGGCACTGCACCGCACAGCACAGCACAGGACACACTCAGGACCTTTTACAGCTAGCTAGGCCTCACACTTTCTCTCACACACACACACACTGCTCAGCCCCAAGACAGAGTTTTACAGCTGGACCACAGCTTAGCTTCACACACTGCTCAGCCCCAAGCCAGAGTCTTTTACACACACTCAGTCCAACAGCAGCTGGTTTTAGTGGCTCATATCATATCGCAGATCAAGTGTTGACTCGCCACTCTCCAATGACGCATCGCTGAACACACACACTCTCTCCTTTTGAATAGCAATCGTGCTGGGGACACGGCAGGAAACAGGCATTTCCACTGCGGTGTGTGTGCCGCAATTGACTATTTGACTTTCAAGAGAGATTTTCTCACGATCTTCAGTCTCTGTAGCCAGCCACCCCTACATATTCCTCTCCCCTCCTCCTCCCCTCCTCTCCCCTCCCCTCCTCCTCTCCCCTCCCCTCCTCCTCCCCTCCTCTCCTCCCTCTCCTAGCCCCTATAGCAGCTCTGCTCTGTTCTACTGTGGGTTTTTCCTATAAAGCAGGTTTTGTATTGATGAAATGGAGGCAAGGGAAGGGCCTATTGAAAAGACCCTCTGCTGATGTCAGCTCTTTTGTGTTTCTGTTTGACTGCAGTAGCTCAAGTGTGTGTGTGTGTGTGTGTGTGTGTGTGTGTGGACACGCTTCTCTCTGCAGAGAATCACAGCCATTTGGTGCCACATTCCATGTACCATCCAGAGAGCCTAGAGAGACACTCTCACACAGCCTGAGTGGACGGGGGAACAACCACTGGATTCCCGTGGCCCTGCCTGCCCAAGCTGCCCTGCTGTTGGGGTAGCTGGCTGGCGCTGCCTCTGTCTCTACCGCTCTACCTGCATGCATGCTGTTTGTACAGCTCGGTCTCTGTCTAAATAAAGAACCAGCCCATTTGCAGCAACTAACCTTGGTCTCTGTCTCTTTGGAACACTGCCAAGAACTTGCACACATCTATAGGTCTAAATGTGTAGATATTCTATAGTGTCTATAGATGCAATGTATATCCTTAGCTAGGCCTACTCCATTTCCTGTGCATGTGTTGTACATGATCAGCGACGGGCCCTGCCTGGCTTAGTATGGGCAGGATTTGTCTCTGGTTGGGTTTAGGTGATTGGGTTCTTATGGAGATTACACTGTCCATTTCTCAGACATCCTTTAGGCTCTGTTGTATTCTCAGAATTTGTCCAATTTTTTCCCCCCTCTGTTAGAAATCTTAATGAACTTTGCTAGAGGATTGAGTGGTTCTGTATGTATGTATGTTGAGTGGTGGGTTAGAGCCTGTTGTGTGCTGAGTTTCTCAGAGCCTCCTCAGCCTGCGTCTGTGGGACCCACAGCAGTCAAACACCCAGTGGCCCGCAACCAAAAATGTCTGGAATTCACATGCAAGCAGGAATCAAGCCTCCTGTGCATATCCTTCTCCCTCCCTCCCAGCCAGTCCTTTGTCC